AGAAATGTTGAATTGTAAATATATTTGAACATTTAGCAAAAATTATTTAATACTCAGATTTTAAAGTTTTAAAGAAAAATGATAACCTGTTTGAGATCAAAGTCACTAATTTACAAGATGCTGACATTTTTGTTGCTGTTGTTTGAAGATTAAGAAATTAATCTTATCAGACCAACTTTTCCTAAACATGTGACATGGGACTGAATTTGTGAAGCTATGTAATTCCTTGCCAAGAAATGGCAAGTGGAGATTTTTCATCAAAATGCATGAATATATAATTTTATAGAAAATCAAGTTTTACTTAATAAAAGGAAAGGGAAACCTAAAACACTGACATGGATCCTTCCAGGATCATGTACGTCTGAATTACACATGTAAAATTAAAATGTTGTTTTTGTGAAGTAAAATTATGTATATACCAGGCAAGACTTCAGGTGCAGGCTGTGCAAAGATGCCCCTGAGACAATCCAGTGCACAACGGCAGGGTGCAAGATGATTCGATTCCTAATACAGATGGACAAACTGTTATTGCACTCTGCCAGTGCAATTGCCCGAGATTAAAGGATATATATACTTTTTTTAAACTTACATCCTAACATGTTATGAGGTGTTTTTATAAAAATACACACTGGCTATTGTGCCTAACACATCCATGTCTCTCTCTCAGCAAATCTACAGGTGGTCCAGAATTCAACATCAAGGACTTCTGACATAGTGGTTTGTTTCTATATTAAACTATTTCTATAACTGTTTCTATATTAAACTAATTTCAAGCTATTTTTTTAAATAGAGAAATTTTAAAGCAGTTGTTGAAAGTTTTAATTTTAGAAAAGCCATTGGCAAATTTCCGACTTAATTTTTCTCTTGCCATATCTCTGTGTTGATCTTTTCCCTTTAAATATTTTCCCTTACTCTCTCCAACCGCGTTGCCCCGCATACGGGAGGTCAACTGGCATTTGTGTCGTAGAAATGTCAGGCCTGTGGGAAAAGAAGAGGGGAGGGGACATCACTTAAGGTCTATGTAGACTCATCACACATGAACTCTTGCTTGCGTGCACACACACATAGAATAATTAGTAGATGCCTTCCAGGCCATCACTAGGCTCCGACACTGAAAATTTTGCCCACTTACCTCTGCAAATAATGGCTTGATTGAAAGGCTTAAAGTAGTCGCATTAAGCCCACGTGTGTATGTGTGTGAAACACCTGCGGTTAGGTACTCACACACATACACACGTGGAACAGATTGAAATTAAATGTCAGGGAAATACCAGAGCATGAACTTTTCAACCAGATTTGTGTGTGTGCGTGCATGCTTGTGTGTGTGTGTGTATACATGCACTTCTCTTTACAGTGGCAATGTTTTTGTCTTTTTTTGTCTTTGTTCGTCTTTGTTCTTGCATGTGTTTCTTAAACATTCCACTGTAAATTAAAGCCTGTTACTTCAGTATTTATTGCATGGATGTGACTACACCTTTTCTAGCTTACATGTTTATACAGTTATGAGGGTTTTTTAGTCTAAATAGGTCCTTATTAGGTTATTTCTGATAAGTAAATAACTAATTATTAAAATAAACTGTGTTGATTGTATTCATTTTCATTGGCTTTTTTTGAAACAATGAAGCGCTAGAGAAAAACAATTTTGTAAAGTGTTTCTTTTGTTATTTTAATTGTTTAAAAACAAACAAACAAAGAAAAACCTATTCAAGTTAATTAATATAGGCCATAGGCCAAGAGTCCAGACTCATAAAACCACTCAGGTGGATTGGACTCAAATGCAGAACTCCAAACTAGAAGTTAAACAAGCTTGTTTATAAGAACACAAGGATAGCAACATTTTAAGCAAAGGGTCTCCATTAGTGAAGCCTAGATAAACAGCCAAATCTAGTTTCTTCTCTCCTCAGAATTTCTCTCACCAAACACAAATTCCAGCTCTCTGGTTTCCAAAAAAATCTTTGCAGAAGAATATGTAATACATAAATGCAAAATCAGACCAATGTGCAAAGAAGTCTAAATGCTTAGTTCAACAATCCAGCAATGCCAAACCACCACCTTATGTAGTGGCAGCAGATGAGCTGATCAGAAACAAGTGGGCTCACTACTTCCAGCTGTGTGAAGCCAAAGGGTAGGAACTCAAAATAAGTACTGCCTCTGAAACACACTCCAGAGTTCATCCAGCTGGTTTTCTCGTCTTTAACATTATCAATAAACATTGTTGGGTCTGTGTTTCTACACGCCCCGCTAGTTTAGAGACTAATTCCTCATGAAGAATGCAAGACAGACATAACAGAACATCTTCAACCGTTTTTTTTAACTCGCTAACGAGGGAAGCTTTGGTCAGAAGCAGCTCTTGGAGCTCACGCTCCTCACCTGTCTCCAAACCCAAATCCTTCAAAGAGTAGCTGTCCTCGTAGCCTTTTTATTGACATGACAGTTACAATACACAATACAACACAAGCATCTCCCCTCGTAAGACCCCCCAATGGTTCTAAGACAAGGCACTATGTGTGTGTATGTGACCTGTATGCATGTACAAGAACGTATGTGTGTGTGTGTGACCTCCTGCTCACCAAAAGGATCATAAAAGCAGGAAGCTTACAACACAAGAAACAGATCTTTCAGATAGGATGTATCTACAATAAAACCTCCCCCAGCACAGAGTGGCTGGAGAGGTGGTCAGAGACAAAGGAATGTCATTGATCCTATAGTTTGAACTCAGACTCAGAACCACAATGACAACATTCAACAATTAGACTTAACAAACATGCATATTGTTTTCACTGTGTTTTATAGGTGATGTCATTTACCTCAATCATGAGCCGTACCAAGGCCTCTGAACACGTTTATTTTAACTCATTATTCTGGTCCATACTAAGTCTAGCTTCTTCAGACTTCTGCTTCAAATGTCTCCGCCTACCATTCATGGTTCACTCGGATAATTATATCTCTACTTCCCGTGGAGTGTTCTTCATTTAGCTGGATGTTGTAAAGGGGGATTGCTTTGATCCTGCAATCCTCCACCTCTGTTGACTTCTGTGGATTTTCAGCTCTTTTCATGTTGCTGAGCTCGACTGTGTTTTCTTTTTCTTTTTTTCCAAAGATTGCACCAAAACGGGGGATTTAGCCACTCATATAGTTTCCGCTAGGTCTTTGTTGGATTTACTTTATTTTTGGATGGCCTGTTTTATTTGTAATAAAATCACCCTTGACAGCATATTGTGGTTTCACAACGTCATCGCTCAGATTTTAGGAGATTACTGTGGTTTTGGCACCGTTAGGAACCAACTGTCAAATCTCAGAGAATTTGAAACATCCGTGACCACACCAACAGTCGCTGCTTACAGCTGACCATAATGGACCTTTAATGAATAAATTGTTCACTGAGATTGATTATCTATGTCAAGCAAGTTCCAACTCAGTGAAAGTTAATTTTCCCCTCATGAAATGAATTGAATCCGATGGCTGCCTTGAAGGTATGAAATCAATCTGAGAACCTATATGGCTCTGCAATAATGTAAAGTGTATTCAATTTAGAATTAATGGGCTAAAACATGCACAACCACTAGAGTGGTGCTTTTAAACTTAAGTCTTATTCAACTCTTGAAAATGCACTAATCAATATTTTTCTCTAAAGAAGATGGATGAAATAACTGTCGTGTAAAAGAGTCACCAAACTCTACAGCTGTATGCTACTCTGTGGCTTTTGGTTAATACTTGTCTGTATTCAGTTGAAGTGTGAAAATATGCACAAAAAGAAATTGTTGATTCATAGAGAAGTACTTTTTAAGCAAGAATAGATACTGTTACATTTATGTTTTATCCTTTACTGCATACACTTTTGTACTGTAGAATCGTTTTACTAGCAGACATAAACAGGGCGCAGCCCCCTTTTCTGAGGAATTGGGGGGATGGTCTTCCTGCACTAGTGACGGCACGATAAGGTACAGAAACTTCAGGCTCA